ATTCCTCAAGACAATGTATATAGGGGTAATTACAAAAATGTCACTTTTGTGTGCATATTTGCAAGAATGTCACTTAAGGGTGTCAATTTACAAAAATACCACTAGTTATAGATTTATAAAATCTATATCTTAAAATTCTAAACTCTAAAAAATGTTTTGACACCTAAAACCCCCTAAACACTCAAAACTAAACTCTAATATAACATAGTTAACCCAAACATAAATTATATAATGAAAAAATAATTTTTAAAAAATGGCATTTTTGTAAAGATTTTAAAGTGTGGCATTTTTGTAAAGTGGCACTTGGAAAATGGCATTTTTTTAAATTTCTCATGTATATATATAAGTTTAGGCTAGTGTTCGAATCTCACCATCTTAGGATCTCCACTTTTGGGCTTTTTTTCTTTTACCACGTATTGCTAAGTGTATATTATATTCATTTTCCTTTCATCAAAGGATTTACATTTTACATTTCATATATTAATTACTGATAATTTTTCACTTGCACAGATTATAACCCGCGCAAGCCTATGATACTCGCTCTTGCTCGTCCATTAAGAAAGATATTTCAGTATCAATCACTTTTCTCTCTTCAGTGCTCTCCTCTTTTCACAGTTTCTTATTGATTAACTTGATCGCAGGGGCTACCAATAAGATTGTCTAATGTTGCGTTTGATATCTGTGGTGATGTATTGAAGAAGCTTTCGTAAAATCGAGTTTTCATATAATTTTGGGTCTAACTGGTGTATAAAAAAAAAAAAAAACATTTTGCATGTGAGCCGAGGTGGATAATAGCATAAAAAATGTATTTTAGCATAAATTAGAAGAAAAAAATTGAAGGGTATAATAATGATAGTTGAACAACAAAGTACCAAAATCAGAAACTACAACTAAACAGCAATGTCATATGTGATGATGGAACGATGCTAGTGTAAGTCGTTAAAGTGGTTTTTCCCTTTTTGCTTTTTCTTTTCGTAGACTTGCTTGGAGCTTGTCTCTCTCTAACACAAAAAACTATACTTGTTTTTGCTTTTAAAATAACACTATTAAGAGAATCAAGAAATGCATTTTCAATGGATTTTGGCATTTTTCAGAATCTAAGTACTTCAATTACTTTATACGTTTCGACTCGTGATGATGTCTCAATGAGACTCTCATAACCTTATATCCTTGTTATCTTTACATTTATTATCTTTACATTTCTTCAGCATTCATAATCTGGGATTTGATATTTTGAGGTGGACTTCTGGTTTTCACAGTCACAAATTTTCAGCCATACGAAAATCTTATAATGAAGTTGCTCATGTCTTAGCACAAAGAGGCCCTCTTAATTTTATTTTTTATTCTAGTTGTCAGTATCTTCCTATTTGGTTAACTTCCTATTTGCATCTTTAACAAAAAAAAATTAACTTCCTATTTGCATAAAGATTATGTAATGTCACGTTTATCATAATAATATATTAGTTTCTGTCCGAACAAAAAAAAACGTACACAAAATCTTCTATAATCTCGAGTTTAATGAGAGGTGCCCAAATTATACTATTAATTGAATCGAACTAAAACCAAATCAAGGAAATTGAGTTTAATTTTTTCTCAAAAAAGAAGAAATTGAGTTTAATGTTATATATATATGTTTCCTTTTTTTTTCTAAATTTGGACAACCGTAACAGAAATTTAAGCCAATCTAAAAAGGAAAAAAAAATCCAGAAAATATCAGACTAGAAAACCGAACCAAATCCAACCTAAACCATACCAAAACAAACCGCAAGGAAGTCATGTTTAATTAATAGAATTGTCTGCACTTGTTAACCATAAAATCCGAAACCGGATTAGACGGTCAAAGAGTAACACACATATATAATAATAGAAGAGTAAGGGGAAGTATAAATAAATAAAGAGTAATAAACCTCTTTAGAAAATCAAGAAAGAAGAAACACAAACAAACAACCCTAAATTTCTCAAAATCATATTTTTTTCTCCTTTGACTTATTCTTCTTCTTCTGTAAAATCAAAAGCAAACCCTAATTAAAGTAGGTCACTGATTACTCCTTGTAGAAAGAAAGAAGAAGATCTTAAATCAATTTTAATGGCGGATCTGACTTGTACGACGCCGTTTCTTCTATATCCATCACTCGTGATCATCCTCTTCTTCTACTCCATTAACCACCATAACCGATTTATCTCCACCGTAGTCGACGATGATCCTTCTTGTACTCCTCTCTCTTCCTCACAAGCTGTTTTCTCTTCCTTTAGATTATTCCCTTTTGGTTCTTCTTCTTCAAATTCCTCCTCTTGTCTCACCACTCTCAACAACAACAATGTACATTCACTAATCCTTCTTTTAGTTTCTTTATTATATATAAAGCTTAGTTTTTTTATTACTACCAAAAAATTCTCTACGTTCTTGATGTTACATTTTTTTTTATTGATAACTAATGTTTGTTTTCCTTATATTACCTAATCCTTCTTTTTATATAAGCTTAGTTTCATAATTACTATCCAAATTTTCTATACGTTATTGATGTTGTGTTTTATGGTTTGGGGTATTTAGCAACGAGCTAATGTTAACTTAATTATTATCTTTTTATTGAAAACAGTCTACATCAGAAGTTGTGGTGGTGGAAGGAGAAGTTGATGAAGCGGCAGAGAGAATCGAAGAAGGTTTAGCGATGGCTAGAGCCGCCATAAGGAAAGCCGGGGAAGAGTATATCCGTCGGAGGAGGAATGATTCCGATTTGGGAATCGTATCAAGTGGATCTGTCTATCTCAACGCTTTTACTTTTCATCAGTTAAGACCTTT